AGATAGATAGATAGATAGATGATAGATAGATAGATAGATAGATAGATAGATGATAGATAGATAGATAGATAGATAGATAGATATAGATAGATAGATATAGAGAGAAAGAGAGAAAGAGAGAAAGAGAGAGAGAGAGATTTTGAGTATCCCATCCCCAATTGCCCCCTAACGGCATATCTGGGTTTCCCTTTGCAGCCTTTTTCACCGAGACCCCCCACGACATGACGGCCCGGGCTGGGGAGGACGTGGAGATGGCCTGTTCCTTCCGCGGCAGCAGCTCCCCTTCCTACTCGCTGGAGATCCAGTGGTGGTACCTGCGGACCCATAAGGACTGGACGGAGAAGGAGAACTGGGAGGCCAACCAGGTACTGCGGCCCCCGACTGCCCCTCCCTACGTGTAGCTGGACCCTAAAAATGTGGCTCTGCTGGGTTGGTTGGGACCCCAGTGCGGGGGGGGGGGCGATCGAGGGACAGCGGATCCCACCTCCCCCCACTCTGCCCCCCCCCACCTGCCTTGAGGCTTTAATGCCCTTTTTAGTTATTGATGTTTTAACTGTACCTGTGCAGATGGATATACTTTTGTGACCATAAGCCTCCCAGAGTTACGCTGGGGCCGTGTGGCTGAACCCATGGCGCGATTGGCAGAGGTGGCATGCAGAGCCCTCTCTGTGGGTGTGCGTGCCATTGCCAGCTGCTCCTCTAGTTTCCGGCGCGCATGTGGTCATCACAGGCGCCAGAGAATGGCCTGAAACAGCCCCAAAATCAGCCAAGACAGAAAACAGGCAGCTGGTGTGCGCCGGCACAGCTGGTTCTTGGGTTCCTGGTGCTCCGGCGTCCAGCACTCGGTCGCTCTGTGTTCTCCCATGCAAGTGTGCTTCCGTTGGAGGCTGGACTGCCGTCTGTCAGAAATGGTAGGGTCTCCTGCTTGGGTGGGGGGGGTTGGACTAGATGCCCGCCAAGGTCCCTTCCGTTATTCTATTATTCTGAAATGGTATAGGATTTCTTGAGCAGGGGGCTAGACTAGAAGACCTCCAAGGTCCCTTCCGTTATTCTATTATTCTGAAATGGTATAGGATTTCTTGAGCAGGGGGCTAGACTAGAAGACCTCCAAGGTCCCTTCCGTTATTCTATTATTCTGAAATGGTATAGGATTTCTTGAGCAGGGGGCTAGACTAGAAGACCTCCAAGGTCCCTTCCAAACCTATTATTCTACCTCGGGGGTCGGCAACCTTGAACACCCAAAGAGCCACAAAGACCCTAAACCGGAAGCCCCCCCGTTCAATTCTGGAGCTGACAGGAAGTCCGGTTGCCCCCACCATAGAGTCTCCTCCTAGTGTGGCGTCCTTTTTCCTCTACCTGTCCTAACTGAAAGCCATATCCGTTGTGGAGCTGACCGGAAAACCCGCCCCTTGCCAGAGAGTCTCCTCCTGGTGCACCCTGCTTCCCCCTCCCCCCCCCCAAACTGGAAGCTCCTCTCAAAATTGTGGTGCCGACTGGCAACAGGGAGCCACAGCAGAGGGATGAAAGAGCCACATGTGGCTCCAGAGCCCCTGGTCTACCTCATGGAGTCTGCAACACGCCTTTGTATCCTGACCAGGGGCGGGGTCTGTGGGTGGATGATGTAATGGGACAAAGGCGATTGGTAGGTAGCCTGGCCCCCATGCCAGGCGGGGCTTTACAGGTCACAACCAACACCTTGGATTGAACCCAGCCCCCTGTCAGGGTCCCCAACAGCATCCAAAATTAAATCAGAGTCCGAGGCAAAGGATTCCTCAAAGTCCCAATTTATGACGAGAGCCACGTTGGCACATCTGGGGAAACCCGAATCTGTGAAAGCTTCCCGGTTTTCCCCATCCAATTGTAAGTTCAAGATCTTGCCCCCACACCCATCAGTCCATCCCATGGTCCCATCTCCCACTGCCACACTGGCAGCTTCCACCCATCCAGTTCCGGTCAGGTGTAGAGACTAAGGATGACCTTGGCTTTCTCGGAAGAATGTTGTTATGGCTGCATGTCATCTAACTCCGTACAATCCCCCCCTACCATAGAAATTGCATAGCAGAATAATGGCCAGAGATCCAAAAGGAAAGATGGCTGCAGGCCTGACACCCCCAGTCCAGCTCTTTGCTCCCCATCCAGAAGAATTAAGCTGGGCCAAGTCAAGGTTCCCCACTCAGTCAGCCATAGCTGCCACCCTCCCCCACTTTCCTTCCTGCAGGGTGTTAAAAAGACCCTGTTGGGTGTTGGAGCAGAAGACCCCCCCCCAGGTCCCTTCCAACACAGTTCTCCCGCACTTCCTCCCTGCTGTGCAGGCCATCCTTTGAGCCAAACTTGAGTTCTGGAAACATTGCAAAAACGACCTGGAGGTCTGGGCTTCGCCCCACCCGCCTATCCCCCCCCCCTCTGCTCCCAGACCCAGAGCTTGCAGGGCTGAACGCCCCTCTCTCCCCCTCCTCTTTAAAGGCCAAGAGGTTTGATGGGCTTTCTCCAAGCTGAACTAATGGTTTCTCCCTTCTTCTCTCCCTTCTCTTCCTCCCTTCCCACAGCTAAAAGCATCTCCGCAGGAAGAAATCGGGAAGGACGCCACGAAAATAAGCGTGAGTTGGTTTGTCCCTCCCCCCCCGCACCCCGATAATGACTTTTTGGGGGGAAGTCTTTAAATCAAGACGCCGCAGCCTCTCGGGCGTCGTCGGGCGCTGGGCTGAAGCCAAAGGGGTTTTTTCTTGGGGGGGAGGGAGAACGACGGAGGGGGCGGGAAACGGGAAAGGAAAGGCGGGGGGGTGTTCTGGGGCTTCTGCGCCACAAATTCTCAGCCGCTTCCAGCCGGCGGGGGCGGGGGAGGGTTAGGCAGGAATAGAGAAAAAGCTGTTTGCGCTTTTCAAGCGAGACCCCTCCCCAACGTCCTTCCCGCAAGCGCCCTCCCCCTCTGCCCCCCCACCTTTTCTCCCTGAAGGGGGGCAGAGGGGGAGTTTCTGCCCTTGCTCGCCCTCCCTCTGGAATCGCCCATCCACCCCTTGCGCCCCCAGGAGGGATCCCTCTCCGGGAACTTTTGCCCCCACCCCTCCTCCCCAAAGCGGGACCCTTCCCCTCCGGCTGGGCGTCTGCTCGCCTGGCCCTTGGCATTCTCCGGCAGGGGAGTGGGCGCCCTCGGCTCCTCTCTGGGTTGAGGAATCGCTCTTTGGAGCTCAGATTTCGCTGTACGATAAAGATTATACAAAATGATGGCGCCGGCCGTTAATTCAGCTCATTGATTCTGACGGGGGAAGATTTACAGACTCCCGGGACTGCCAAGCGGTACTTCTCGCGCAGCGTCTCGGGGAGGGGGGAGTGGGGGGGGATGTCCTCGAGGGCCTGGGCACCCCTATTCGTCGCCTGGACCGCTTGGCGCTGCCTTGACAGATGGCCCTGAGGCTGCCGGCTGATTAGACGGGTGAAAACGAGGCGCGTTTCTCAGCCTCTCTGGATGCCCAGCCGTCCTGAATAGGATTCGCAGCCCCACCCGGCAGAATCCACCGAATGGATGGGGTCTCCAGCACGCCCTCCCCTCGGCGGGACCGCGGGGGTCCCAGGCCAAACCGTAGATCAGATCCTGAGCGGCGGTAAGCAGAGGGAATCCACCGGTCCATGAACGAGGCTGCGCTGGAGCCGTTTGCTCTCGGGATGTGGATCTTGGTAGCGTCCAACTATTTTCTTACCTTTCCAACCCAGGTGAAATGTCAGGGAGGGGCCCTGGGTGCTCGCTGAACTGGGCGGGGGGTCCTGCAGCCTTTTCATCACCCAAACTACGGTAGATAACATCGCCAGTGCCAGAAGGGGGGGGGTTACATGGGGAGGGAGGAGAAGGGGGGAGGACTCTGGGGTCCTTGGTGCTGTTGGAGCTGCGTGGTTTTCTTGCAGACGTTTCATGATGACCCGACTAGGGAACATCCTCAGTGCTGAAAGGGAGGGGAGTTTGCAGAGAAGAGGAGGGGGGAGGGGGGGGAGGGGAGGACAGCGACCAATGTGGGGTCCTTGGTGCTCTCTGAGCCTGATGGGTTTCTGACAAACGTTTCGTGACCCAACTAGGAAACATCATCCGTGCTAGAAAAGATAATGGTTAAGCCTCCCCCCTCCCCCGGGACCCCTCTGGAGCCCCCAAGATTGCTCTGGACCCAAATAGTGGGTCGTACCCTCGGGAGTGGGGGATAGTGCAGGAAGACCCTGCCGCACATTTAAGCACAGTAAACACATTTGTTTGTAGCTCAAGGTTAGCATAGCATAGCATGGTAGTTAGACTTATATACCGCTTCATAGGGCTTTCAGCCCTCTCTAAGCGGTTTACAGAGTCAGCATATTGCCCCCACAGTCTGGGTCCTCATTTCNGTGTGGCTGAACCCATGGCGCGATTGGCAGAGGTGGCATGCAGAGCCCTCTCTGTGGGTGTGCGTGCCATTGCCAGCTGCTCCTCTAGTTTCCGGCGCGCATGTGGTCATCACAGGCGCCAGAGAATGGCCTGAAACAGCCCCAAAATCAGCCAAGACAGAAAACAGGCAGCTGGTGTGCGCCGGCACAGCTGGTTCTTGGGTTCCTGGTGCTCCGGCGTCCAGCACTCGGTCGCTCTGTGTTCTCCCATGCAAGTGTGCTTCCGTTGGAGGCTGGACTGCCGTCTGTCAGAAATGGTAGGGTCTCCTGCTTGGGTGGGGGGGGTTGGACTAGATGCCCGCCAAGGTCCCTTCCGTTATTCTATTATTCTGAAATGGTATAGGATTTCTTGAGCAGGGGGCTAGACTAGAAGACCTCCAAGGTCCCTTCCAAACCTATTATTCTACCTCGGGGGTCGGCAACCTTGAACACCCAAAGAGCCACAAAGACCCTAAACCGGAAGCCCCCCCGTTCAATTCTGGAGCTGACAGGAAGTCCGGTTGCCCCCACCATAGAGTCTCCTCCTAGTGTGGCGTCCTTTTTCCTCTACCTGTCCTAACTGAAAGCCATATCCGTTGTGGAGCTGACCGGAAAACCCGCCCCTTGCCAGAGAGTCTCCTCCTGGTGCACCCTGCTTCCCCCTCCCCCCCCCCAAACTGGAAGCTCCTCTCAAAATTGTGGTGCCGACTGGCAACAGGGAGCCACAGCAGAGGGATGAAAGAGCCACATGTGGCTCCAGAGCCCCTGGTCTACCTCATGGAGTCTGCAACACGCCTTTGTATCCTGACCAGGGGCGGGGTCTGTGGGTGGATGATGTAATGGGACAAAGGCGATTGGTAGGTAGCCTGGCCCCCATGCCAGGCGGGGCTTTACAGGTCACAACCAACACCTTGGATTGAACCCAGCCCCCTGTCAGGGTCCCCAACAGCATCCAAAATTAAATCAGAGTCCGAGGCAAAGGATTCCTCAAAGTCCCAATTTATGACGAGAGCCACGTTGGCACATCTGGGGAAACCCGAATCTGTGAAAGCTTCCCGGTTTTCCCCATCCAATTGTAAGTTCAAGATCTTGCCCCCACACCCATCAGTCCATCCCATGGTCCCATCTCCCACTGCCACACTGGCAGCTTCCACCCATCCAGTTCCGGCCAGGTGTAGAGACTAAGGATGACCTTGGCTTTCCAGAAAGAATGTTGTTATGGCTGCATGTCATCTAACTCCGTACAATCCCCCCCTCCCATTTTCCCATAGAAATTGCATAGCAGAATAATGGCCAGAGATCCAAAAGGAAAGATGGCTGCAGGCCTGACACCCCAAGTCCAGCTCTTTNCTTTTTTATCTTGTTTGAGTGGGGTTTGCTCCCTTCTTATAAAGAATAGCTTGCCCTGCCAGTGTGTTGATGGAAGTCTGGTTTTCTCCTTGACAGTTCCTTGATTAGGATATTGTTTTCTGCTGGATGGTTTGTCTGGTGTTAACCTCTGCTTATCTTGGGTGGTGGCTGCTGAGGAAGATGCATTCTAGTCCTTTTGTTTTCTTCCTGGCTTTTTAATTTCTCTTTTTTGAATGATGTTCAGGTTTTGTCCCTTTAAAATTAGAAAGCAAATAGCATTAAAAGTTTCTCTGGGTATCCCTTTAGAAAACCGAATAGAATAACTAAACGGTATTAATTTTTGGAATCCGCCAGAATGAAGTCAAGATCTGTCAATAAGATGATTATTCTCTTCTTAGGTATGAGAATGAAACAGACAGAGATAAACACACACAGCCTATGGGGAAAAAAATCCCTCCTAGGGTTTTGCAAAACTCAGGTTGGCTTAATATGTCACTTTTTGTTGATCCACAGTCTGAATGTCAACAACAAAAAGATTTTGCGGGTTATTAATCTACAATAAATAGATAATCAATTAATTTTAAGGACCATCTGGGAGCTTTCAAAGCTTTTGTTCTGAATCATATTGTACTGCATGCTTCATGCAAGAACAATAGCAATTTTAATCACTCGAAAACAATCTTATCACCGAAACCTGGAAATGAAAGTTAAGGCAGGTTTGAAATCTTGCCAAAGAATTTATTCCTTGGAATTTTACAATGCCTTCGGGCTTGTTTAACTAAAATTCAATCATTTGTATGCTTCTGGTATAGCAAACTCATTACAGAGTGTTAAGCTGACTTACTGGAAATAGGAGGAAGTAAACGGTTGGTTTCTTAACTAAAGCAATTGAAACAACATAATATAATATCTGCAAACAAAGATCTCAGGTGTGACTCATGATGACTCAGGTGCTGGTAATTTTCAATTTTCAGGTTTGGGGGAGAGAAGAAAAACTTGATCTGCTTCCCAAATTCATCTCAACTGAACTTCCTGCAGAGTTTGGGATTTCTGTGTGAACGGTTTTTAATTCCATAATGGAATCCATTCTGTTTTTTTACCAAAAAAAAAAA